ATACGTCCAACAACTTGGCAATAGAAACTTTGCCAAGAATTGTAGTGGTGATAAGTAATTTTGTTGACTGTTACTGTCAATACTCTAAATCTCACAGAAAATCCGGCTTCCGGTGTTAGCAGTTACCACGTTCCAGCTGCAAAAAACTAGCGGTCTAGGGTATTCCGCTGCAAGACGGTCGGAACCTCATGAAGAAAATCATGACTACACGAAATGTTTCCCTCTAGACGCTGATTGGTCAACGCTGACGTCGGTGTCGCTGTCAACCAATGAGCGCTCAGGATGAAACAGATCATTTAGTGATGCTTCTCTTCATCGGGTGAGGATGCGGTTGGTTTGCAAAGGAATGCACCGGATTGGGATGGAAAAGACTGATTTGTCTGACAAGGCCGGTTTTTCCACAGGGCATATGTCAAGAGTTGATTTAAGAATGGCAATGGAGATGGCTCGTCACTACACCCATTGGTTTGCCATAACCGTTCTCGCTCTCCTTTGGGGCGCTGGAATTCCTGGACCTACGCTTGCGGGACATCATCAGGGTTCAGTATGCATCAACTAAAAACCTTGAATTTCTCTGAAATGTATTTCTTTTTAACGGGGCTCGCTGGGTTTGAAAAGATATAAGAAGCCATTTCTACAGATTAAATTGCCATCAACTTTTTGTGTATGCACACGGTAAAAACAATGTCTAATTTTTGGAGGAAAAGGAAAAACTTAGAGGAAATCAGTTGGTTTGAGGAAAGCTTCTCAGATTTCGTGTAGGTCTCTTTAAAACAAAATCCAGATGTTTTGCGGAGGTTCCTCAAAATCTGAGGTGAGATCCGAGGAGTCTTCCTCAAATATGGGAGGTCCTCAAAGTTTTCCCACTTTCTTCAAAAAATGAAACATTGTACTGAATTTTTGTGTTCCTGCCCTCTGGAATACCATTTCACGCGCTGTTATGAATACAGTCGGAAATATTATATTTTTAGCAGTGGAAGATATTTCGTCTATAACGTTTGCATTTGAAGGTCTCACTCTCGTAGATTCTATCATGGATTACCAGCGCGGTTTCTTTGAAAAAACAATGTCAGCACGGAAAAAATAAAGATGTTATTGTAAAATACGAAAAGTAAAAAGTACAGCTGTCCTTTGAAGGAATAGTCATGATTTTTTGGTTTCTGTGTATGTGAAATGGCTGAAACTAACATCATTCTTCTAAGTGTGGCAAAATGTGAGGGTTTGGCGCAGTAAGGTACTTTAAAGTTGCCGCAAGAACATTACAAAGGGTGAAAAGGCGCGCTATCCGCGACCGCACTTCGCCGGCCTTCTCATCAGGGGCCAGGGGAATCTGTCCGTCTCTCCGTTTTTGTTCTTCTACTTCGGCTGCAGCGCCCCTTCTAGAGTGGCCTATGGGCCCAGGTGACAGAAACTATACCACGTGACCGTCTTTTGTCCCCACCCCCATCCTCCCATCCAGACTATGTCCAAATCGCCTCACTTAAATCCCCATTCGCCGTTAGTACTCGTTCATGATTTGACTAAGCGACTTTTGGAGAAACAAAGCCTTGTACAACCTTTTGTTGATAAAATTGAATCAGTGCGGACTTTAATATCTTAAGACCAATACGCACTCCTGCACTGGAAAAATTAAGGTAGGGACCAATACCTTTCTTTGGGTGTTTATGACTTGCCTCCACACAGGCACTAAAAGATTCGCATCCCTGTATAGGCACCTAAATGCCCCATAGTTGCTAAATTTTGAGTGCCATTGGGCGCATTCTTGCCTTTCTAAAGGCATTAGATTTAAGTTCTACCTTTGATTCTCCAGGGCAGGGATCCGTAACGAAAAGATTCGTTATTTCAGTTTTTCGGCAATATCTCGTAAACTGTTTGAGATTTTGTTGGGTACTTGCGCAACGAAATTCAAACACAATTTGAACTATTCAACGAGCACCTGCATTGGACGATATCTCAATCCTTTTACTAGATATTATCAAAATACTAAAATAACGAATCCTTTGTTACGGATCCGTGCTCCAGGCTACCATTTCAACGATTTTTTTCCCACGACGGTGAGCCCCGCTGGAAAAACGTCCGTATTTGGAAATTAGTGCCCTCAATACGAACAAAAGCAATATTCTCAATTGATTTGCCCTAAAATAAAAGAACTTCACATCGAATGAAGTCATTTGGCGTGAGGAAGCGTGTTGGACCGTGCGTAGCAAATCGAGGTGCAACCTGAGGAGGGGTAATTTGAGTCAGGTGCCCTATATATGGAGTAGCGCTTGAAGTTGAAGCCACAGCAGTCCGCCCAGACCGAGCTGGCAACAATATTACAGGCTCCATCGCACGTCCCCTAGCGTCTGATGCCGTATTTAGGATACTGTGGAAAATCGCTTTTTAAACTTGACACGGTTGACTTCAAAACATAGTATCAGCTTGTAGCTGAAGAGTCCTAGTTTCAGTTTCAAATATGTACAGACATGTTGAACTTTTATCCTCTATTGTGGCACCCTGTTCGGAATTTTGAGCAGAGAGTAGTACGAAAAGCATAAAAATATTTTATTTAAAAAGTAATGTCCGTATTTACGGCGCTAGTCCGTATTTATGGCACCTGAATGTACCTTTTACTAAAAGGGTAACGTCGTATTTTAAGCTTTGTTTTAAGACTCCTTTTAAACGCGACAGACTCACTGTTAAAAAAATTTCTGTAATTTTACAGGAAACGTTTAGCTAATTTTGGGGGCAAGTGGTGTCGTAAACTATTTTTACAGCGCAGTTGTAAAATTACGACAAATGCCATGGAACCCAAAAAACGTTGACACCTTTTTTTACGTTTTCAAGGTAGCGCTGTAAAATTACAGAATAGCTGTCAGACTACAACATCGGTTGTAGAATCCGCCATATATATATTTCGGATATTATTAATTTTTTTCCGTTTTGGTATGATAATTTGCGTGTTTCTCATGCATTTATCGCGAGTTTTTTCCTCGTTTGAGGACTTTCTTTGCAACTTTTGCACTTTGCAAAG